TAGCCGAGTAGATTTATCGTGACCGCCCTGTGCCGGGGACACTGGTTCACCCCAGATAAGATTAAGATCAACAGTAAATTCTTGACCAGCGGATGGTGTGGGGCCCGGCCTGCAGCTCTCCGCGCAGGGGCTGTATCTTTACAGCGTTGTCAGGTTGTGCAAAAGGAGCAGAAAGGTGCAGGGGGACCAGCCGTGATAAAGAAGGGGCCCGAGGGAAACGATGGGTGGAGCCCGAAGCGGGAAGCTCCTCTGCCTGGGGTATCAGTCAGTGCCAGTATCACCAGTCTGGGTATCACCAGTCTCTCAACCCTCTTTTCCCCTGGCAGGTACAAATACGGCCTGAACTTCTCAGCTGCAGCCATCCCACCCCCGAAGGATCCCCCACTGCCAGGCCCAGGGCAGTATGATGTGGTGGACTACAAGGACCCGCCGAAGCAGTACATCTCCAGTGCCGTGTTTGTCTCCAACACGGGGCGCTGGGCAGGAGACCAGTCTCAGGAAGGGCTGCCTGGGCCAGGTATGAACAGCAGCCCTGTTGGACACAGCCTTGCACTGTTGCACAGCTGTCTCCCGCCTCCGCTCTCTGTAGGGACCAGAGCTTTGCCCTGTGGTTGCCAGGACTGGCCCTGCCTGCTGGCAGGTCGGACAGGCAGGCTCTGGGTGCTCCACAGCCTTGGGAAGACTGTCCCTCAAGTCTAGAGGTGGCCACAACAGAGATGTTCGTGCACTGGGCAGGTGGGGGGCATGGCTGGAGGTGGAGAAGGAAAGCACCTGACTTCTGGCACTCCCCAGGGCAGCTGGGACGTGCCCAGCACAGGGCAGCAGAGCCCGGGGCCCCTGCCTCCTGCCCCTTTGAAAGCAGGAGCGAGAGGCGCTTTTCCCGGTGCATGTATGCAAAGGCCCCATAACCGTATCCAGACAAGGCTGAACAGGGGGCAGCCAGGGCCTGCTCTCAGCAATTAATGGGCTCAGCATGGCACACTCAGCATGGCACACTCTAGGTTGCCTCCCACCATAGCCGTGGGGCACTGGAGGCGTTGAGCTGGTGCCACCCTTACACCGGGGGCACTTCCATACCTGAGTAGGGCGTATGACCTCAAAGGAGTCGCTCCGAGTCAGGGTCATCGCTGTGATCACATCCAGGTTTGGCTCCCAGGGAGGGACTAAGCAAAGGGCTGGACCCAGCCTCCATCCTGTCATGCCAAAATGTCTTTCTCCCTCCTTCCTGCATGGCACAACCCAAAGAGCAGGGAGCGACTTGGTGAGTAAGCGCTGGGGCATCTGGCCCCAAGGGTCACTGATGGCAGCCACGGGTAACACTGTTTTCCTTGAGGGAGCAAGGTGGGTGCGTGACAGGTCAGACGCATGCCCCCGTGTCCCTCGGCCAGATTCCTGTGTGGCTGGACGGGCAGACCACAGCAATTTCACTGCTCTTTTATTCGTCAGTAGACTCGTTATCCCCCAGGGGGATGGGGGCCCTGGCGGAGAGGGCACCGCATGTTCCCAGAGGTCCCAGGCCCCACTCGGGGCACAGCCTGGCCACCATCGCCCACGCGACACCTGCCACCTTCAGCAGACTGAGGGCTTGGGCACAAACACGCCACACGTGAGGTGTTAGGCCTCCGCTGGTGTTAGGGAGGCTCCGTGGAAGGCAGCAGAGACGCGCCATGTCAGGATTTGGCCCTGACACCATAGAAGTCATTCACCGTCCATGCAGAAGTGCCATTCGTTTGCAGCACGGGTGAGAGACCTGCTGTGATCACAGCGCCCTGGTCTCAGGGGGAGGGAGATCCACCAGGCATTACCTCTAGTTGTGAAGACAGGCAGGAGATTTCCAGGGGGCCAAACTCAGGAGCTTTCCTGCACCTCTCTCCTGGCAGGGACATACTGGCCCCACGTGCCGGAGAAGCAATCCTTTCTCTGCAACGCTGACAAGAAGTGGGTGCCAGTGCTGTGAGTGTCAGAGCCCAGGTGCCATGGGAGGAAGCCTGCAAGGACCAGACTTCATTTGCGGGCCGCAAGGATCCACGATGCAGGAATGAGACCCTGGCCTCCCCCCAGCCTGTTTCTAGCTATCCTGATAATTCAGCAGCTGGCACTGGCATTTTGCACACATGAATTAAAAAATAATCATGAAGCTGCTGCTGACCTCAGACTTTCTGCCTTGGTTGGTGTTGAATAATTCCTACAAATGCCAGTTTGAGCGGGTTTTTCTTAAGCCTTTAAAGTTACTGGGGCTGTATCTTGGGTGCTGCTCGATGACGGTGACGGACCTGCCAGCCAGGGGCAGTGCGCACATCCACATCCACATCCTCCACCCACCGGTCTCCGTGCCTCCTGGTCCCCATGTGCTCAGAGCAGTCACCTGTACCCAAAGAGGCCGTTGGATCGGGTGCCCATTACCAGCCATTTGATCTGAGGTTTGGAGAGAAGGCACCTGTCCCTTTTACGCTTTACACAGGAGCAAATCAGGAAAGATGCCATTGAATGTAACGAAGCAGTGAGGATTTACACCCACGCGTGGTCTGGCCCCACATTGCGCAGTATTTCCCTGGGCACAGGTGCTGGTCTCATGCCTCTAGTCCAGCCACATGGGTCTGAGGGGAGCCCCGGTCCCAGGCAATCAAGGGTCTTAAAGTGAACGACTGCGGTGACACGACTTCAGACCCCGGTTGGCGGCGAGGCCACGTGGCAGGTACGTGTCACAGAAACAGTTGCTTACAAGCAAACAGCAGTGATGGTTACAGTCACGGGTCAGCTTCTCTGCCGAGGATCTGCAAGCCCTGGAGCCCGAAGTGGGGGGAGAGCCCGCAGCTCTGCAGTGCCCCCGATCCGGGGTCCAGGACTTCACGGCAGCTCCTGATGCAGGCACAGCGGGAAAGGTGCAATGGACACAGTTCGACAACAGGCTTTCCAGCCTTGGCCCCCCGGGTGCCCGTGTCTGCTCTGAGAGCAAAGGCAAGTCAGAACCAGTCACGTCAACTGGCTTTCGGCCCGAGCAGCCCAGCTGCCGCCGGATGTGGCAGGGCAGCGCTCCAGAGGAAGCTTTCCCACCCGTCAGCCTGACCCCTGCAGACTCGGGCAGGTTCATACTTTCACACGACCTTTCTCAGCCCGGAGGACCTGTTGCCTCGGCTGCCTGACCCTAACCTTCGACGGGGGAAGATGGCCCCGGGTGCAGAGGCAGGAATGCCCTGCATACCTGCGTGCTGCGCTGCGCCCAGTCTCCCGGCTGCATCCGTCGCGCTGGCAGGGACGAGCCGGTCGCATCCGCAAAGCCCCTGCCCGCCTCGGAGCAGGCCGCGTCCGCTCTCGGGCTGCTGGGAAGCGGCTGGTGTCTCTCCAAAGGCATCAGCTGCCTCCGTGTGAAACAACCGTGCGAGGCCAGGCTCCTGTTCTGCCAGCACCTCGGTGCCCCTGGTTCCCCCCACCACCCGTCCCTGTGCAAAGCGAGCGTGAAGGCCTGGAGGAGAACGGTGGGGACCCACGACCACTGCCATGTCCCATGTGGCCATGGAAGGAAACACGGGGATGGGTCTTCTTGCAGCCTGTGCAGGTTTCCATCTCAGGCCTCAGCTCAGCCCCTCCCGTGACCAGGCAGCTCTCAAGCCCCCCGCATCCCTGAGTCCTTGGGGGTGCATGCAGCACTAACGTCACCCACGGAAATGGCATGTGGCAGGCGGTTGCTGAATGCAGCGGCCCGGGGAGTGTCAGTGCTCCCGGATTGCCCCAGGCCTCCGCAAACCGTCCTGGAGAAGGCTCTGTACCAGGGGCCTTCCTGGGTGCGCCCAGCCGGCATGTGCTGCGCATCCAGCTCTCTCCCCCCTTGCTGGTTACCTGCAGTCCCACCGCGTGCAGGACCCGGGCCACCTTCAGCAAACCAGAGCCACCCCCTGCCCCTGCCGTGGTCCTTGCATGCCCCACTGCCTCCTCCCCAGCCTCATGCCTCTAGCCCCAGCCCCTTCCCTCACACAAGTTTCCACAAGTTCAAGTGCAAGTCCAGGCATCAGCATTCCCTGCACCATTTGGAGTGGCCCCGTCTCCCAGGGGCACCCATGCCCCAGGCACTAAAGGGCACGTTTTCCCCTTCATCTGGCCGGGGCAGGGGCTAGAGAACCCACCAGTGGGCAGGCAGGTTGGGCTGTGCCGGGGGGGCTGTTTGGGCTCCTTGGAGCAAGGGGTCCTCCGCTGAGCATCAGCACTGGAGGCCAAGCTTCACCTTCCCTGCTGCAAGCTTCAAACCCGCTGGCTGCCCATCAGGAAAGTTTCCCACCACAGTCCCACTGCCCAGCCCTTCCCCATCCTACTCCTGTCTCTACTGCCTGTGACCCAGAGCCCAGTGCAGGGGGGCTGAGTCCTAGAAGGGCTCTGAGCTAGCCTCTGCAGGGCCCAGGGGCTTGGGGCACAGCTGCTAGAGGCCACACAGCTGGGGACAGGTGGCTCGTGTGGGCTGATTAGAGATGCTGAGCTGCCCCTGATGGGAGATTCCCATGTGGGGAGGGTCAGGGGAGGGTCCCCACTCCACGCTGGTGGGTGGGCAATGGCGGGGATCCCCTCTCTTTGAATGGGACAGACATGCAGGCAACTTTCAGAGCAAGCCAGGCTGGGTGGGGACCGGGCCAGGCGGCACCGGGAAGCTGCAGGACAGACAAGGGTGTGGAGGGCAGCGGCAGGTCCCTGGCCGCTTTGCTATCCACCGAGTGGAGAGACGCAGGGGCGTGGGAGGCGACGGACTGGTTCTGCCCACAGCCACAGCTCTCTCCAGGTGCTGCCTGTGTCTGCTCTATGGGGACAAGCAGACTGCAGGAAAGAGGCACGGAGACTGCGTCGCCCTTGCCAGCGCTGCCCTTTTCAAAGCATGGAGGGACAAGAAACACCCACCAAACCCGACACCATCTCCTCCCTTCTTTCCCACGGGGCCCTGCCCATCCTTCCCCGAGGCACAACGTCCTTCCCCCACATCGATCTCAACCCCGATTCCGCAGGTTTGGCAGAGCGCGTCCGCTTTCCAGCTCTGAACCTTTATTATGATGGGATATATAAAAGCAAAAACCAAAACGAAACAAAACCCCACGACAGTTACAAACAACGAGTCCACTTGGAAATGTGAAGCAGCTGCTTTTGAAATGCTCTCTGTCACTGCATGGGGGCCGGTATAAAACAAGGCAGGTCTATGCACATATAAAATATAAAAGGGAGCAGACGTCAGAAATGTATAAAATAGCGGCTATTGAGGTGCTAGTGTTATTTACATCCAGAGTTTTGGGGAGGTGGCAAGGGGCCGGCGCTGGCAGTGTCTGCTTAGCTGTCAGCTTTAAACAAATCTGTCAAAGTCTCTTTGGAGAGGGAAGCTTATAAGTGTGGATCAGCCTCAGCTGGACCCTGCGCAGAGGCTCTGCGTGACTGATGGCTCGGTAGAAAGCCGCTGCCTATGGTTGAGTCAGCAAAGGGGCAAGACAAACTGGGAACAAAGCCAGTCACCCATCTCTGCCCACGCTGCCACGTGACAGCCAGGCTCGAGTCTCCACTTTCCCAGCGGTGGAACCGGAGGTCAGGCCAGGACCAAGTCAGGACAAAAAAATACCATAATAAAATACAAAATAAAATAATAACAACAACGATACACTTAGAGAGAAGCTCTGCGTTCACATTGGTAATGGATCTGCCCGTAGTTCTTGGAGCCAGCGGCACGAGGCTGAGCATGGCACCCCCGCGGGGGAGCCTTCAAGTAAAGGCAAGATGGCGTGGCTGTGTCAGGGTGGGCTTTGTCCGGGTCGACCCCGCTGGCTTTGGGGAGAAGTCCCAGCGTAAGTGCAGCCACCTGCTCCTTAGAGCTCTTTGAGGACAATCTGGATTTTGTCCTCCGCTTCCACCACGTCCAGCAGAAAAGCCACGTGGTTGCTGTAGTGCTGTATGATGTTGTTGTCCATGTTCACCAAGATCCTGGAAGAGGAGAGGGAAGGAGAGAGAAAGACCAGATTAGCCACGTTACTGCTGGTGTCTGGGGGCCACGACTTAGGCAGTCTTGAGTTCAGACCCTCCTTTTCCCACTAACTGGCTGCACTGGTTGTTAATGGGGCAACTGGGTAATGCTTGGAATGGGTGTACATGGAGTCAGCTGCCAAAGCCCCGGCTCCTGCTCACCTCTGAGCTGGGAGCTCAGCCTGGCAGGGCGGCTTGGACACCCGCCTTCCTGCTTGAGGCGGGATGTGGCCGGGGCGGCGTCACACAGGTGTGTCCCAGGTGCTGTTACGCAACCCACCAGGACTTGAAACAAGGAGCCTTTCATGTTGGATCCACCTCCAGGTGAGACTGGCACCCAGTCTGGAGGCACCAAGTCCCACCCAGCCTCCTTCCAGCCCCAAAAAGGCTTCCCATGAGCAGAGGGGTGAACCAGGCAATTCGGATGAACCTAGGGAGTAAGTCTGCCTGGCTGCCAGAGCAGGGGGCTCGGTGCCTGCTCCAGCTGCATCCGTGTGACCCTAGCCAAGCCACATCCCCATTCGGTGCCTCAGTTTCCCTCCTGGTGAGCAGTGATGCTGCTCGTCTGTGCCAAATGCTCCTTGCCAAGTTGTGCAAAGGCCCGATACAGATGTAGAGCAATATTAAAAAGATAGGAATTGAATCCAGCCTACACCCAACCTGCACATTGGACACCAGCTTTCTGAGATCAAGGCACCTGTGGCAACAGTCTGCCCCGGGCTCCAAGTGTCATGGCCTCAGCAAGACGGGAGGAGAATCCTTGCAGTCGGTTACCTGCAATACACCCCAGAGCAGGAAGCGCTGGAAGTGCCATGAGCCTCCGGCTACCGTGACCCCAGGTGATTTCCTAATCAAACGAGTTCAGGGAAGGGCTGAACAGGAATCCAGACCCGCCTCACACCAACAGGGAGTTCTGCCGTGACTCCTACTGCATCACCCTGGCCACAGCTTCAGCTGGCTGCCACCTGAATTGGTCCAGTCCCGTCACCCGAACAAGAGCCACTCGGGATGCCTTCTCCCCAGACGGTGCAAGTCCAGGGGACAACACTGAGCTACAGCACTCAACAGCTGGCGGAGGGTCTGGCCTACTGCACTTAAAGACAAGAAGGGAGAATTGATGTGGGAGGAACAATGGGATGAAGTTGTGCAAAGGAAAATGACACCTTGACACGATAGACGTGGTAGAGTGAAAAGGAGCTCCTCGCCGAGCCCAGTATTGGCCATGGGAACGATCTGCCACAGGGAGGTCCATGGTTAAGCAGCTGGATACAAGAGAGAGCTCATCAGATCTGGTTTTTAATTGCACGAGGTGCCTCCTAGGTCTTCCACTGTGAAGGGCCGAGGCAGCACGCCGCAGCGCTTTCTCCAGCACTCACTGGTTCATACACGTTGCCTTCCTAGCAGCACAGTAGCAAACCCCTCAGCTGATCGACGGGCCCCTCATCCAGACCAGGTCTGCCTCCAGCGTCCGGTCTGCGTGGGGGGTTCTCGTGCTCTGGAGGGGTGGGAAGCTCAATCCCCCCGTCCCACGTTAGCAGGACTGGGAAGCAGTTGCCGTGGGTCGGCTGTTTTGTGAGTGTGAAAAAGGGCTGGTCTTTTCACCACTGCAAAATGGCATCTTCGAAGTCAGCCTCAGCTAGAAGGAGACCGAGCTCATCTGGGCTTTAGGAGCAGGCTGGGGCTGGGGAGCGCTGGTAGGGGTGGCGTTTGGGAGGCTGGCACAGCAGCTGCAGCCTTAAGCCTCTGGCCTCCGGGGCTGCTATGCCAGCATCACCCGACAGCACCGAGGACCTTGCTCAGGGCACATGCCTGGGTCTCTTCCGAAGCAGAGGCATGCAGCTGGTCCCATCGAAGCCCACGGGGAGATCCAGAAGCTTTGTCAGGCACATGTTTAAGCACCTTCCTGACTCGGGCTGGGGCAGGGTTTTCAGCAGCCCTTGGTGTTGTTTCCAGCCCTGCCCCACAGGGAGCTCAAGAGTCCTGCTGGAGCAGCCCCAGGGCAATGCTGAGCATGCTGGAAGGGCCCAGGGCACTTACGAACCCAGACGCTCCCACGCCACTGCCAAGAAGAAGGGGAATACAGCAGGCGTAGCTTCACACTAGCACCATGTCCCTGGCCTCCAAGAGGCTTTGTGCTCAGGGTGCCTCCGCCTGGTTAGACAGAAGCACCCGGTGCCCAGCCAAGAGCTGGCTGCGTGTTGCGTGACCTGCTGCCATACGTCTCCTGCCCGTCTTCCTCCAAGCTCGACACCTGGACCTGGGCCAGTAAAAATAATGAGGTCATCTTCCAGGCAGGCACTGGCTCTTGCAAAGCCTGATCGTATCTCCCCTGCTCTCTGCATGTAGGGCTTGGTCTCGTTTTCTGAAAATAAGCCTGGCAGCTCGAGTCATTTCCTGGTCACTGAACGATGGGAAAGCTTGCTTCCAGGGGCTGGGGAAGCAGGAGGAGTTATTTCAGAAGCTGTGTCTGCAAGTGGTAATTAGCTCATTTGGAAACAAGCCACCCTGGGGGAGCGAGTCCCTCTCGCTCTATTCAAGCCAACTGGGGTCTGGCGTTTCCCACCAGCTGGGAATACCAGCCACGGTCTTCAGTGGAGCTGGGCCATCGTACACCTGGGTTTTCCAGATGTGAATGGCACTTCCTCGATGGAGACAGCAAAAGTCATCAGCTATCACTTGGTTCCTCACTGCAAGCAAAACACAGACCGTAGGGCAGGAGCTGGCTGTACTTGCACAGATCTCAGTACCGTAGCATGTCAGAACAGCGTTTGGAGCAATGCACCAGCGCTACGTGAGCTCCCCAGAGCAGCTACGGAGGTTCAGCAAGGTCTAACATGAAGCAAAACCCTCCTTCAGCATTGCTTATTCCTCAAGTTACTTTAGAGCGATGACTTCAGAAGCAGCATCCTCAGGCTGAATGAGGCACCGAAAGGACAGCAGGGCAAGGCATGCCCGGGCAGCTTCCTGGCTGGGCTTCACTTGCAGCAGGGGCCAAAAGAAGGGCTTACGTCTAACCGAAGAGCAAGTCAGTTCCCGCGGGCCTTTCCTACCAGCATGCTGAGCTCAGCCCAAGAGCCCTCTTTGCACTTCCCCTGAGCTGAGGCCTGCCTGCCATGGGGGCTTGTGGCTTCCCCAGCAGGTAAAGTTACTCCTCCAAAAAGCACGAGGTGTATGTGGTTTGGTTAAAATATAACCCAGCCCCCACCTGCTGCACCCAGCGGTCCCAGCTCCCAGACATTTTATCTGGGGCAACTTAGCAAAGAAAGGAAACCGCATGCACAATCACTTCAGGTGTCGTTCTTGGGCGCTTTCCTGGCAAAGGAGCCCTGGGCGGCCACGAGGGATCCTTCGACTTGAACAAGAGAGGCCTCCATCACAGGCAACTGCAGATTAACAGCAAAGCCCTTCTCTCTATGCCAGCGGCCTCCTCCGAGTTGATTTGCTGCTCATTACTCCCACGTTATTATACTTGCGAAATCCCCAAGCACTGCACAAAATGTTAAGCCGCGGTTTCGTGGCCAGGGGCCACTGTTTTCCAGACACAACCCATGGATTAGGGAGGTGGACGACAATGGGAGTGCACTCGACGCACTCTTTATACAGCAACACGAGCCCTTTGCTAGATTTGCGAGAGCCAGCGTGCCCAGAAAAGCCTCTGGCGTGAGCTGCACGGCAGTATCGAATGCTCAGCTGGGACTCAAGGACAGACAGCTCAGGAAGCCACTGAGGAGCCCACGCTGGCTCTGCAGTAGGTGCCCAGTGAAAGACGAAGCAGTTCTCTATTTTAGTCTGAAGTCAGACAGAAGATAGGGCAGGGTGGCATGTTAGAGACTGCCTGGTTCAGAGAGCCCTGAGCTCTTCTGTAGGCAACCACGTCCATCAGCAAAGGACGGTGTAAAACAGCACAGAAGTGAACACGTACTAGAACTGCCTTCGCAAATTCTGCCTTCGCAAAACGGCCTTTGCAAACTCCCCTTGGCTGTGGAGACAGACCTAGAAGGTCTCTCTCCACCTCATTCAGTCCAGTGCTACCTGTTTTGAAGACCTCTCGGGCATTTTGGTCATCAAGGCTGAGCTATCCAGTGCCGGTGGAAGGGGATGGATCGGCAGCCCTGGGGACCAAAGTCCTTTGGCGATCCCCAGAGCAACGGGGACAGGATTTCATCTGGTACAAGCCAACATGGGAATGGCCCCAGACCAGTTTATACTAGCGAGGGGCCTGGCCCTGATCAGAAGTGCCCAACTCCAAGGGAGAGGGAGAGGAGTTTGGCTTCTCAAGCAGGAATACCAGCAGGACTACGTTAGGACCAACAGGCCCTCGCTGGGACCTTCGGCTCACACTAGCCCCAGCCCACCTCCAGGCCAGTCGGGACCCCAGGCCCCTGGCTCTCAGGCGTCCCTCTTGGTGGGCCTCCTTGCCCTTCTGACCCGCCTGGTCCTGCCCGGGGAAGCTCTGGCAGGCCCTGATGTATGACTCAGACTCTTATCCCGGGGTCCCCCTCTCTGGGTCCTCCTCCACAGAGGTGGGGAGCTGGGGTTACCTCACACCACGACTGGGGCCTCAGGGTCTCACAGGGGACCCTCACTCCCCCCTGGGTAGCAGGTCGTGGTGCTATGACTGGTGTTATCTTTGACCCACACTCTGCCTCCCAACAGCGGAGGGCTTATCGGGGTCAGGGCTCAGCTCTCGCTCTCCCTGGCTGAGCCCCTCTCCCTTCACAGGGCTCCACACGCTGCCCCCCTCACACTGGGGGCTCCACAGCACTCATAACACCCCCTTTACTTGGGGGGACCCCTTTACTCGGAGTCTCAGGGCTTCCCTCCACAGGTGGGCTCAGGTGGCCAGAGCTATGCCTGGCCCCAACTCTCCTCCTTGGGGCTTGCACCCCCACAACTACCTCCAGTGTATGCAACCCACCCAAAGGTGAGGGCTAGGGTTTAAGGCACCCCAACCCACCTTCCACCAGGGTGATCACTGGCCTGGCATTTCCTGGAGGCTCCCGCACCACTGGGAGCCCCACCAGGCCACCCACTCCTGGCAGGGTGCAGTTTCCAGTCGCACCCAGGAGCAAGAGCCTCCTACCATCCCCTACAGCTCCTCCATCACCTCAGGATGAAACTCAGCAGCCCTCAAACCAACAATGCTATCACCTCCCCTCCAGCAGCCAAACTGCCTTGTTTATATAGGCAGCCCTGAGCCTAAAATGGCCACCCTCATCAGGCACCTGGAGGCTGCCAGCTCTAGCGCCTTAAAGTGGCAGGCGCACAAAATTGTTTTCCAACTATTTAAGTTGGTCTAATAAAAGATATCAGATTCACCCAAAGGCCCATGTCAGAAGTGACGTGAGAGTCACTCGGCACCTCCGTCCCACCACGGGAGCCACCCACACAGTCACGACGTCCGGTCCTTCTGGCCCGCACTCTGGTTTGGCACGTTCCAGACCAGGACGGCTCCGTCTCCAGCAACACCAAAGAGCCACAGGTTTCTCACAGCCCATCTTCAGTGCACGGTACAAAGCCCCACTGGTGACCATGGGAGCTGCCTGTGCCCCACTGTGCTGTGTGCATCTTCGCTTTGAAACATGCCTTGAATTCATGGTGCCAGCTCAGACCTGGGGGCTGCTTCACAGAAGCAATGAAAAGCCTCCCAGAGCTTTTGCTGGGGTGTGGATAAGACCATTCACGTACAAAGGCTGATGACTGGTACAGCTGGCAGCAGGGGTGCGCTGTGTACACCTCATGGGTGCAGTGAGGGATATAACCACCAGTGCTGCTCTGCTTTGGTGCTCTCCCAAAGTTTACTCAGCCTCCTGTCTCAGAGCAATGCACGCTGGTCGGGAGAAGCAAACCTCTGCATCTTCCTCTTCTTCGGCAGTCCCCCCCAGCCAAGGATGATTGTCTTCTATGTGTGGGTCCGAAGGGGGCTGATGAGGCTGGTCTGAATCCTAGCGACTGCAAGTAGATCGGTTCGCTATCCCCTCCACTTTTCACGTGACAGACGAGAGATCATCAGGTCACCTACCTGGACATTTCTCCCCTCACTCACCTACCTCTCCTCAGGGGATTTTACCATTTCAAACAGAAGACACACAACCATCAACCCAAAATGTTTAAAGCTCAGATGTTTCTCCACTTTATAGGCTCCAAATGGCACAGCCCTTGCATGCCTTGGCTTTTATTATCTTGTTAACGTGCTATTTCATCCCAGGGCAGAGGACCCATGGGGCAAGGCTTTCACCGGACAGAGGAAAGGCATATGACTTACCCTCGCCTGCACTTTTTGTAGACCTTGTAAATGCTTTCTTCAGGCAGCCCGTATTTTTCTGAAATCTGGGGGGGAAAAACATGATTTTTTTTTTTGCAAAACGGAATTCCAGCAGATAAAAAAAATCAAAGGCATCGTGGAGTTTCAGTCTTTCAATGGAGGGTTTTCCCTCTTCTTTATTTAAAATCTATGCTATGGTGATAATCTAGAACAGTGCAGCATAGGCGAGGGTGATCACAGCACCCTGGGTCTTGGACCGAGGCACACGGACCATTGGAAAGGGCACCAGACCCGAGTTCTCTTCCAGACTCTGCCACTGGCTGGCTCTGTGCCCTTGAGCAAGTCACCTCTGTTTCTCTTTCTGTCTGATTTGTCTTGGCCTTTATGCTGCAGTTTCTTATGTGAGGAGACAGATGCACCTGTGCTGAGCCTCTGGGCCTCATAGCAATAGACGGTGGGCATGTGGATTGGACAGCCTCCTGCCTGGCCACCTCAGGGCGTTTGCTGAGTTCTTGGTTGAGTTGCACCTGTTTCTCACGGACGCATCCTCAGTGCACAGTGATGCTGTTCTGATCGGGTGTGGAAGTGCAGAAGGGGGCTTTGCATGCATTTCTGTGAAGGGCTGTGTCTGCTCAGCTGCGTTTCCAACCCTATAAACTGACTTGGCTCAAACTGTCTCTGCTGGGTTTTTAAAAGTTTACAAAACTAACAAAAGTTGAGGTGGGGTTGTGCAGCCACCACTGGATGCTTTACATTCAGTGTTTGTTTTATTCCCACCGGCTCCCAGAGAGGAGCCGCGGTTATCAGGGATTCTGCTGATAATCATCACACAAATACGCCCTGTGCGCTCCTCAAACAGGGCGACAGAATTGCAATGCAAGGCTGGAACGGCTCAGGCTTCAGAAGATGCAGAGATAGAGCTAGGGAATGTGGGGGGAATGCTTTACAGTGGAAAAATATGATAACACTGTAATAAAAGGAGCATCCCAAGGCTTTACATTATGATTTGAACAAAAGATTGTGTTGATAAGGCCTGTGCTCTCTGCCTATGGCTCTAAACACGTCGCCCACCTGTTTGCTGGGGTGGAATCACAGCGTGAAGCTAGTGGATCATTCTGATCCTCCAGAGAGGGCTGCAGTGGGATTTGGGGTGGTGCATAGTCCTTATGTTGTGGAAATCCTTCACTCCAGTACCCCAGTTCCCCAAAACCGTGCTGCCAGGGCCTGGTTAGTTATGGTCCATTTATGCAGCAAGGTCACTGGACAAAACTCACAGCGTTCCTAAGTCCCTGGAGATCTGGCGTCTTCAGCATGAGGGCATCGAAAACTTCTTCCGATTCTCTCCGCACATACAGCAAGACTGAAATAAACAATGCGCAGCATTTAAACCAGCAGTTGTGGCTACGAGAATCACTTTTTCAAAGCGTCCGTGTCCCTGGTTAAATAAAAATCCCATCTTAGTTGGCCCCAGCAAAGAAATACTTCCAAGGGGAAAGGAATCCCCACAGGGAGACGACTTACCTCTTTGGGGATCTTCTTTGGCCTGTTTGGCAGCCAAAGGAACAAACTCATCAGAGAACGAAGGGCAGCTTCGTTTTAACGGCAGCCTGAGTAAACCGGAGAGGAGACTGTCAGGAAGGTGGCACAACAGAAGCCAAGATTTCAACTGTTCGAGCCGACGTTCCAGGATGGTGACGGCAAAATAACTACCAGCGCTGGAGTCCAGCCAGGACCCCAGGGTTCACGTCTGAATGCAATGGGATCTTTATTGATCACGTGCAGTGTGGATTTCGGTTGTACATCTCGGGCAAAAGCATGGAGCCACAGGCTACAGTCCAGAGGT